GCTATAATATTTTCAACATGTATATGCAGACTCCTGCACATAGTAGGAGTATGGCCCTGCCCAAGTGGCCCATCCGAACCATCACTAGGTGTCTCCAGGGGAGATCTCCAGGTCACTCCAGGATTTCCCTGTTCTTACTTAGATATGATCTAGAGACAGGACATGCCCTTCATAATCTCACCTAGTACAGGAGAAAACGATGCTCTTTCACCTCTAAGTCTCTCCTTAGTGTAACAAATATTTACAAATATGAACCTTCCCAAAACTCTGCGAGATAGGAGGGAGAGAGAGTAGCACACTGTATTCCATAGAACAACAGAATCACGGAATGGCCCGGGTTGAAAGGGACCACAATGATCGTCTAGTTTCAACCTCCTGCTATGTGCAGGGTTGCCAACCACCAGACCAGGCTGCCCAACCTTGCTTTGAACGCATCCAGGGACGGGACATCCACAACCTCCTTGAGCATTTTCCATGTGAGAAGAGGCAGAAGAGATAAAGGCAATGATTAACCACTTAGCATCAGCATAGCATTTGCCTGCTGGAAATTGACCTTTTGCTGGAAGCTGAAAGCAGTACATGCATTGTACCTTTTACACAAGACTCCTCTCCTCTGTCTGTGCAGCCAGGGACTGAGCTTGCCTTCTAAGAATCATAGAACCTCTTGGGTTGGAAGGGACCTCAAAGATCATCTAGTTCTTTAACCCACTGACATTGAAGCATCGAGTCTCTAAATCTGCTTTCACTGCAAGCCTCGCCTATTAGTCTTATCAACCATGCTGAATGAGTCTCCAAAGGAACATGAACCGGGCAGCTGTTAAACCTCACTGATCTATTACTTACACGGAAACTTCACCGGATAAATAGTTGACTGCAGCCCAGGAGAAAGAAAACAGTTTTGATGTCCAGGGAATAAGAAATAGAGAAAGAGTTGGTCTAGATGAGAGAGAGAATCTAACAGTGAGCACTGAAAATTATCAAAAATATGTTGTTGTTGTTGTTTCTTAAATCTGGCCATATTAAGAAAAGAGAAGAAAGAAAATGTTTGCAGAGCAAACCTTCACGCTTCAGAGGAGGAGGCATCTGCCAGAGGAATCCCTTTTTAAGGAACGCTGACCTAAGGCCAAAGTCATAGCAGAAATGTTGTTTTGGCACCAATGGTCTAAGGATGGGAGAGCCAAGGTTCATAGGAAGAGATATTAATCTTTTATTAAATCAACTGATAACACTGCAAAAAAAGGAAGAAAAAAAAAAAAAAAGCTTAGGGAGGACTTGTGTGTCTAAAATGTTCTTTTCTTCCCCCTCCAACAATATCAGATGTTTAATAAAAGATATTGCTTCTTCCTGTAAACCTCGTCTCTCCCAAATCCATAGAGCACTCCATAGCGTTGAAAATGCAGAATTCTTCAATGCATTTTTTTATTGTGTTTTTAGTTCTATGTTGTCAGAAACTTATTTTCAGAGCCATTTGCAAACCCAGCACGTGCACTTTTTTTGTTGGTTTTTTGTTTGTTTGTTTGTTTTTCCACAAGCAGGTGTCCTCCCCATGATGAACAGCAACCTGGAGCACGTTCAGGACAGACCTCTGCAAAAGGACAGTACTCAACTCCTGAGAGGTTTCAAGCCCTGCCTGGGCTTTGGGGCAGGATGCTAGAGGGGTAGGACATAGCAGAATTGGACAGAGGGATGTCTTCATGACATTCAGTGCCTGCATTAATCCTTCCTCTACTCAACCCATGTCTTCGCTGCTGATGTCCATCCCATGGCAGCATGTAACCTTGGAACTTATTAAGGACTGCTGACTAGGATTTAAGGCTGCTCTCTGAAGATAAAGAAATACTGCCCTTTCGTTGAGTGGCTGCCAAATGACTTTGTTTGGGAGCTGGATTACTCATTCTGGGGGAAGAAAGGCGACTGATCTTGGTCCTGCTCCATGGGCAGGCAGCAGATGTGCTCAGTGTGACTGCGGCACAACGTTCCTGACCCACAGCATCCCACCGCCTGGTGTCACAGTCCTGACACATCCCTAAGAAGTCACTTGCTCACATGTTTTCTAGAAGGAAAACAAGTGGGAAAAAACTCCTCCTGAACCTTTTATCTCCCTTACAGATCTATTTCACCCTGCATTCCTATACAGACCTAAATGAAAGATTGCATGGCACATTACACAACACACCCCAGAAATGCCCCTTCAGCATCCCTGACTTGTCACACAAGGGTGGGCTACTTCTCCCAGCCTCCCCTATACCTCCACCTTACTCTGCTTTCTGACCTGATGCCATTTCACTTCTCCCCTGCCTACACCTCCACAACCATCAGGGATCTGATGCACAAGGAAAAAGATGCACCTGTGCTCAGGCAGAGCATGGAGAACCTTGGAGAGAGAGGAAACAAACCTCTCTGCTGCTTTTGTTACACAAACGTTTGTTTCCCCTACCCAAATGTGTGACAGGAAACTAAGCAGTTCACCTTTGTAAAGCACTTCTGCATCCCACAAATGCAGGAGGCAGATGGTGTTTTTCCTTTGTTTTAAAAGAAAGAGATTAAATGCCTATGAGTTAATCATGAGCCTGGAACACACTCATATACCCACATGCCAATCTATCCATGCTCATATGGCCTGGGCAGCAGCAAATGCAGGGACCCATCAGAGTGAGATCCTCCAGACATGTCACTTGTGGTCAGCTTCGAGGTGTAACCCTCCACTGTGTACTGATGATATTGTATATGATACTGTACTGATGACATTTAGTGGAATTCTCCCTAGGCTGCAGCTTGGGCACGCTAAATCACCTGAAACAGAACTTTGCTCCAGGTTTTGCCTCTGGGAATGGCAGGTTGTGTCAACAGCAGAGATGTTGTGCACAAACATCGAGAAGCAGCCCTGGGAGTTTTACCATTTTGGTTGTGGGTGCGACCAGGGACTGCAGAAAGGAGTTTCAAAGCTTAACTCTACAGCCACATCTCCACCTTCCATGGGGGAGGACCAGGGGCAGTCTGGTTCTAATGCTTGAGGTCATTTGTTTTCTCTCTCCGTTCAAAAACCCTCACTTAGGGTATTTTGGTGGGTTTTGTGATGGGCCTGTGTACTTGAAAAGACTCTCTCAGGAGCCTGGAAGAGACAGCTTTCCTGCCAGAGATGCTGGGAATTAAAATGGTGAGGAATACAGAGCAGAAATGCACTATTGTTAATGAAACCAAACTGCTTATCTTACCCATGTCGCAGGAGAAAGTAAATGCTTCTTCATAACAAAGTAAATATGAGTAATCAAAAGCGTTATTACCTAGGATCCCTCTCTGGATAGCAACAGAGAAAAGGTCTCCGTGTATATAGAGGACTGAGTTGGTGATCTAGAGTTCTAAAAGTACCACAAGTCTGGTAAGCAGGATAAACCAGTTATTGCTTTGGTCACACACAGCAATTTGTGTGAACAGAGAGAAGTCCACTAACAGAGCCTTACGACGTGGCATGAGAGAGCACAGAGCAACCATGGCACAGCACTTAGCACAGACAGGACGAGGTCTACAGGACACCACAGAGAAGACAAATCCCACTACGGTGAGCTGGCCTATGAAGATCTCTGCAGTTCACATTTCTTGGGGGTTCTCCCATCCAATTCTCATTTGCTGAAGTACCCAAGCAAGAGCATGGGTGATCTCACAAGCTGCTTCTCATCTTCCCCTGGCCACTGCTCTTCCCCACTCACTATCTACTGATGTTTCTGCAGTGTTGGGATTGTAGCTACCTCATGCAGTCCACTGAGACCTTTTCCCAACATAGGCTTTTGTGCTGCACAGAGAAGACTGGTTCCCTTACTAGTAATTAAACTTAGTGATAAGGCAGTGCCCTGGACTTGGAGAGATGACATGTCTCATCAGAAACCTTATCATCTTTTTTTTCCTCCCCAGCTCCACTTTGCAACTTCCTATCACATAAAGAAAACCTCTGCCATCAGATCAAGACCACAGGTCAACCCTTTCTTAGGTAACTGATAGAAATCAGCCTCTGAGCCAAACATCTGCACTGTAACCAGAAATAAACCAGCCTTACACCAAGCACGAGGCAAAAATCTCTGCTCTTTCTGCTGAAAAGCCCTTCTCTCCTGGTGGGTGGCCCAACCACAAATCCCTACACTTGTGCTCCAAACGCTTTGTACATTCCATTTTCTCAAGCTGAGGAAGAGTAAGAAACATGCATTCCTCCCAGGGTTGCTGCCACCCCGGGCAGATAGGGCAGTGCAGCTGGACACACAGGCAAGGGGACATCATGAGCATAAATCACAGAAGATAAGGCTGGAAAGTCATTTCTGACTCACTGAGTCAGTCCCCAGAGACTTGTGCAGGATTAGCCTCTGCACTAAGCCCAGGCATTTTTATCTAGTTGCTTCCTGGACTTCTTCAATGACAGGCCCTCAGCAACCTACCTCTGGCAAATTATTCCATTGTCTAAATGATGTCCCTGCTGGAAAAAAAGTGTTTTTGAGGTTGAGCTTAAATTGCCTATTATTTCCTTTTCCATATTTTATGCACTTATCAGTCTTTCAGTTGCCTTTTCTCTAGGTCCCTGTATTAAGTTTCTTTAATCTAACACAAGAGGTCACAGCCTGTAGTCTTTTAATCATCTTTGTCACCCTCTTTGGATTACCTCCAATTTATCAAAGTCTGTGTAAAAAAGAGGAAGAAAAATAGGAAGGAAGGAAGATCAGGATGACATCAGAGTCATCCCAAAGTGTGTGACTGTGCTGGGGTATCACGGGGAGCTCTTATGTGTAGGCATCTGCATGGATGTCTGAACTACAGGCGTGTCCAGGACCAAAAGGAGTGAGGACAATGGTTTGGGGATCAGGCAAACACAAGTGTGCCTGATAGACATCTGTGTGCATGTTTCATTGAGGGAATAAGCAAATGAGTGAGCCCAAGAGCTCCAAAAACTGATTTACTGTCACATTTCCTAGTCTCCCTTCACTCTGAGCATTGGATGGCCACTGGAGCTGCCTTACCCTGTAGTAATCAGTGCTGTAGACATCTCTTGACATCCCAAAGTCTCCAATCTTCACCAGCAGGTTGGCTCCGACCAAGCAGTTCCTGGTGGCCAGGTCTCTATGGACAAAGTGCTGGGAGGCAAGGTACACCATTCCAGAGGCGATCTGGCTAGCGATGTGGAGCATCTGGGATAGCCCTAGCTCCCCTTTGGCTTGTCGAGGCTGCCCATCCACGAGGATCATAGCATCTGGGCCATGTGCCCTATAGGGAGGAAGAAGCAAAAAGCATAGAGTTGGGTCTCAAAAGTGACCAGGAGGTAGGAATCCCATATGATTGCTGCTCCTGCTGGGGTGGGGACTGGCCCCCAGCTCTGTACTGTGAGGATGCGCACACAGGAAAGAAAAAAGAAAATTTTACAGAACAAGAGGTTGGGTGAACATTTGGTGGGTGAGTAGGTGCCACACATCATTCTATCCTTACTCTTCTCCAAGAAACCTCTTATGGCCACAGTTGAAAGACAGATTGCTAGGGCAGAGCGACCAGTGGCTTGATGCACTGTGGCCATTCTACTCTTCGGCAGGACCTGTGTAAAATGAATTGGCTTCCAGATATCTACGTGTTTGCTGCAGTTAATTCTTCTACCTTGGAAACATTCCCAGGTGTGGAGCTATATATGTGGAGTTTTCTTCCCCAGCCATCATATTCTTGCTGCTTACTCTCTTTATTAATCCCATACAGCCTCTTCTATTCCATCCGCACACCTCATCACCAAACAACCTCCTCTCATTTGATATACCAACACAACCAGAGATCACAGGCAATGTTTCAGAAGAACACCAGCATTCCTGGAAAGTACCCTTTATACCCTAAGCTGTCCCAGAGGTAACACAGGTGCTGTAAACTCTGAAGACACAAGCAGAGGTGTAGGGGTAATGTCTGAATGTCAGCAGATGGAGAGAACATCCTGGACAACAAAAGGCAACATTTTGCTGAACAAAGTGTGTTGTAAAGGCAGGACTTGAGGTCAGGGTCATTCCTGTCCTGTCCCCCTTTAAATCCTCTCCCTAGCTGTGTACCAGGCCTGTCTTTGCTGTGCTCCCTCTGTGATGTCTCTTTCCCCAGTGGAGCTCACACTGCTGTGGCCTCTTTGAAGGTGGAATAACAAAAGCCCTCATATTTAGGGAAAAGCAAGAGGTTTTGCTGTGACTTTCCTCCTCGTGACTAAGATGCAGTGCAGCATCTCCGCTGAAGCTTTGAAACTGTTCTCATTGAAATAGTTTCTGGCATTTCACCCTGTTGTCAGCCCTGCAGAGAGCTTACAAATGAAAATGCACACACAGAGCTTTCCCTCCTTCTTGATATGGGACTGAACAACACACAAGACCCAATTTTTTTCTCTCCTTTGTTTCTTGATTACCCTGTTGGGCTTAAGGCAAATCAAAGAATCCAGACATTCGGGGTCCAACCCATAGTTTTTGCTGCTGTGTTCAGTTATCTCCTGCTGCCCTGCCACCAGAAGCACAGCCCCAAGGGTCCTCACCTGCCATCTCCTCCCAGAACAGCTGGAAGAGGAGAGGAAGCCCAGAAATGAGGGCTGAGGAGCCAGGAGTGTTTTGGGAAGTTGTGAATGGGCAATACTGCAGTGAGTGTGGGATGGACAGGACAAGCAGGGGCTTCTAAAACCATGCTGGACATTTTATACCAGACGTGCCTTGCAGTTACACCATATTTAACTGTGGATGATACCTGGTGTCAAGAGTAACTATGCCAAGATGAGAAGTGCAGGACATAATGCCATCTCATTACTGCCACCTTTTTCAAATACAATAATTACTTCCAAGGAACTGTCTGCATCTGATGGGAACAGGTCGTGTTTAAAACGTGATCAGCCAACATCCTTCCTTTCATTGAGTCTCTCTACATCTTACTGTACAGGATTTATCTATGTATGTCCTGCGTAATACATATTCCTTCCTCCCCTCCTCCATCCCACATGGGTATAGTCCTAAAGGAAGGAGCATCAGCCTACTCTCGAGATTAACTGGGGGGATATTAGTGCATCTAGTTGCATCAAGAAGATGTAGGGAATACGAAAAGAAGCTGCCCATCTCTTCTTGGAGCAAGGAGTTTGGTTCAGCTTTACACCAAGATCATAAGATTGGCTGGTCCCTGTCAAAGAAGCGTGGCTTTTGGTTTTGTTTTCTTGTTCCTTTTTCTTCTTTCTTAGGGAGTGGTGGAGGCTTTTATCAATATGAGGAAGAAAATAACCTATGCGTGTGTACTGAAGGAAAGGGAGGAAGTGATGGAGATATTTGGTGAGGTGAGAGGGAATGCAGTTGTTGCAGGCCTTCAGAATGGGATCTGAATGCTCAGAAGCCCCCAGTCCATGAATGCTGGCCCTAGAAATGCTGTGCTTCCAGCAGTGCTGTGTCTGTATTTCTCGAGAGCCCCAGTAAAACCTACTATTCACCAAGGGAAACCTGAATCCTGCATCACCCTCTTGACCCCCTTGCAGCTTCCATCCTGAGTCTGACCTGGCCAAAAATGTCATCCATGCAGAGCATGAAACAGAGGATGACCTATAAGTTCATATTCAGTCTGCCTCTACTATGCCAAATTGAGGGGGGAAATCAGTGCAGGTGTGTTCCCAGCTCCGCCATTGTCTTGTGAATGCTTCAAGATTGCTGCAGGCAGCTTGGCCCTGCTTGAAAGATTCAAAGAATGATCTGGGGTGGAAGGGATTATCTAGTTCCAACCTCCCTGTTGCCCACGGGCAGGGTCGCCCATGGGGTCCTTCCCCACAGCCCTTCTAGTGTAGGTGATTGCTTCAAAATGAAAACTTCAGGAAAAGATCTGTTTCCTTGTTTTCCTTGGGCAGAAATGGGTTGTGATGGTGGAAATATAAGCACAGAGTATATCCCGGCCCCAAACCTAGATGTGATGTGCTCGAGCTTCCTGTTCCCGCTGCAATCATGCTCACACTTAGCAGTCAAAGCAGGAAAATATCAAGGGTCCAATTTTGTAAATACTGGGAAATAAACCTACTAATTATTTCAAGAGGTAAGTACCACTCCACTTGCATGCAGGTTCCAGAGCATAATTTCTGTATCGTGAGAGAGCAGCACCACAAACATCCTCCCACCATTGCTCTCTGCCCCTCATCAGTGGCAGATTCAGGGCATGCAAATTATCTGCTAATGAATGGTGACTGGTGGGGGTCTAGCAATTTGAATCTCTCTAGAGGCATAGAAGGCAATTATGGCATTTCATCTGTCATTGCCCATCTTCTGGAGTAGTGAGGTGCCACTGGTTAGAAAATTTTGACTGCTGAGATCCAGGGCACAAGGACCAAGGATGGACTGCACAGACACTGCCTGAGGCCTCTCCTAAATTTCTCCTCTCCTTTCTGAATTTAGAAATGCGAACTGCAAATGCAAACTGCCCAGGATAGCATCAGATGAAGGACTCCAGGAAGATCCTCTCAGGAGTATTTTAGTTCTGGTGCTATCGAACCAGTATCTGGGTGGCATGAGGAGTCATGGCTGCTGACCTTCCAGCTTCAGACTTGCAGGGGTGGGAAAAGAAACATCTGGTTTCCACAGCTCACCTGGACAACCCTTGGGACTACCAGAGTGGAAATGTTGGGGTTGGACTTCAAGCATCAAATCTGCTGAGGACCATGCACACGTCTATGGCTCTCTGGGCACCACAGATCTGTGACAAGCCCCCCAGGGGTACAGCTGTGCTGCATCTGCCATGCCCTCCTTTGCACATACCTCAGGAACTTGTTCAGGTCCCCATGCTTCATGTACTCGAAGACCATGATGAGCGGGTCACCATCACCACACACACCGTAGAACTTGACGATGTGCTCATGCTGCAGGTTGGTAAGCAGCTCTGCCTCCCTCTGGAAATCCTTGCGGGCTGCCAAGGTGGGGTCTTTCAGTGCCTGAAAGAAGGGACACGTATGTACAGGCTGGGCAAAACCAGAGGAGGCCAAAACCAAAGGGGTGCTGGCATTGAGGAAGAGCTGATGAGGGCAGAGGAGGATAGGAACCACTGCCACCACCCAGTTGCATTGGGAGAGCTAGCAGCAGGTACTGCTGGCACCACCTCAGCATTTTGTTCGTATGTTTACCAGCCCAGTGGGGTCTCCAACTCATTTCCCAGGAAGCAGCAAACATGCCACAGAGGGTAATAGCTTCCAATTATTCCCAGCTTGGGCAGGATTTGTACTGGTGACCTAGGGGTGAATGGCTTCATATCTCATTATTATTAAATTCCTGAGCCAGCCAGTCCTCGCTATCTGTCTTTTATTTTGAAATAGCTGACTACACTGCCTTTATTCAGAAGATGGATTTGCCTGGCTGTGCAGTTATTGTGTGGATTTTTCAAACTGCCTCTGAAGAAGGACACTGTCAAGACTTTTCTCATAATTTTTAAAATCATGTTTTCACTCCCCGCTGTTTGTAACAGTCCCCCTGGCAGACTGATGCTGAAATCAGTATCCTAACTGAGAATATCTTGTCTTTCACGTGAGTGCACCAAGGTAGGTTGCAGCCTAGCATTGCATGGCTGCTTTGAAGATGCTGCTGTGGGTGCAGCTGCTGATGGAGGTGGGTTACCAGGCTTGAAGGCCAGTTTGTCCATGAGGAACTGGGCAGTTTCATAGGAGAGCAAAGTGTTGTCATCACAGGATATCAAGGGAGGTCACTTAGCAAAAAAAGTTGGGATGTCCAGAATATTGGACAAGATGGATGAGCTGTGAGGCTTGATGGCTGTGCTGAGTTCACATACAGAGAAGTACCGAGTCCTCCCCAGGAGCTGCTTTTCCCCATTCAGCAGATCTCCTCTAAGGTTTTACCCAAGCCTTAGGACACTTTCTCATTCCCTTTTTCTGCCCTCACCCTGCTAGGCACATGGCATAATATTATTGTAATTCTATGTCCTCTGGGATAGCTTGACTAGAGATATTTAGATGGATGATAGTTACGCTGTGCAGATGGCAAAGCATCCATCCTTATCTCAGGCACCCAATTACTTTTAGTCATTTAATATCTTCATAACTTTGATGCTTCCCATTATTTCTTTTCTCTCCAGGAAAACACTTCCCCTCCCCCATGACTCCTTTCTCCCCTTTCTCCTGTAGTTGCACATAATATTTCAGGTTGCAGCGAGTTTGGTTTCATCTCCTTCACACTCTGTCACTTCCCCGAGGTGTGAGGACTGTGACTTTGTAAATATCACACAAAATGGGATATTAAAAAAACATTGCTAAGGTTGCACAGCCTTTAGAAGTGAAGGAAACAAGATCTGGAAGTGGTAGAACCAGGAAAGAATTATAGAATCACTAAGGTAGAAAAAGACTGAGATCATCTAGTCCAACTGTCCACCTACCACCAATAAAAGAAGATGGAGGCTCAAGGAAGAGGCCAAATCCAGAGTAAAAATGCTTCTCCTAGGAAGGTTTGGGGAGGGTTGCATTTGTGTCTCCGTCACAGTATTGCTATGTGACATCAAGCCATTCACTCTGCCTGCAGGTTGCAGTCATTGTCACAAGCTGCCAGCTCTGCTGATGCTTCCTAGGAATTTCCTGGTCACGTGGTAAGAGTGCCAGGTCTCCACAAGCACCACATTTAACGTCAACGTAGGTCTGGTATCTGCAGTCTGGCTGCAAAGGCAGATTGGTCACTGTCCTCCAGCTAGGTGGATTCTGCCCCCTCAATTTCCCTGAGATTCTATCTGCCCTCTGCCAAATGGGGACCATGCAACCTCAGCACCCAGCTGGATGGCCATGAAAATAAGCACACTCGCTTCTAGAGAGCTCTCAGAAACAAGAGCCGTCATCACAAAGGAGAAAGCCACAGAGAAATGAAAAATATGTGTTCAGAGGACGTGCCCCGAATAGCAGCCCCTCCAGCATTGCTAACATTTGACTTTATAACCTCAATGCTTTTTGCTGACTATACTTTTTTAGTGCTTCTTAGAATGTTTTCAGAAGCAAGCTGAACAGAAGAGCAAACTTATCCACGCCATCACATCAAAAGCTGATCTGCAAGGCTGCAGTTTTTAAATCCACTGGAAATCTGAGTGCATTTAGCCACAGTCTTTCATTGCCTAGTCCTGGCCCTAGGAAGGAGCCCCCTGGAACGCAGCAGGGACAGACCCCACATCCTAAGCAGCATGTGCTGTTGCTGCTCAGAGCTGCGGTGACCATGGAAGTGGCTTCCACCCTCTGCTGGGAGCATGAGATCTTCAAGAAAAGCAGCCAAAGCTCAGCTCAATATGCGAAGCCTTTTTTCTCCCCTTTTCTTTACTCCTTTCCATTTTTTAAAAAACCTACAACATAAAACACGGCCCAAATTAGAAGAATGCTTCCCCCCCACACAGCTGGCAAAAAGCCTGATTTCAAGGCTCCGCTCCAGTTCTGGATCTGTATGATCTGTTGGGATGAAAGGCACTCTGGAGATGTAAGCTCATAGTAGCAATTAACGGAAACAAGTTTGGATGCTGTTTCTGCCTACATGCAAATGAAGATCAGTAGAGACCTGAGAGATGGGATCGCATCGGCTGACACCGATGGGCAGGTGCCAGCCACATAACTAGGTGATTAATGATGTGGGTAGCTGTGCTACCTTGGCTTTAACCAGTCCCAGAGGTGAAAAGTGCAATCTTGCAGTTCTTGCTGCCTTACTTCTTTCATCTTACAGCAAAGCTGTCCCAGCAAACTGCTCCCAGCAAACTGGTTGGCCGTGCTTAGCTTTCAAGTGCTTATTTTTGCTGAGGCCTCTTTTTGTTTCATCTTCAGCGAGTTAAGTCCCTTAAGAGAAGGTCCCAGTCCCTCGCAGAGGGAAGGCAGCCTCCCCACCACTGCTACGGCTGCGCAGATCCGAGCCCTTCCAGCCCCGTTCCTCCTCCACGTCTCCTGTCCGCGTCGGCAGGAAGAGAAGCTTTGGCATTGGCGAGAACAGGCGACCTTGAAGCAAAACGCTGGAACTCTGTGTGACTAAGTGGATTTACCACAATCTCCGGCATCAGATAAATCTCATCCCATAGCCCCCAGCCCTCCCCTGCCTCCCTTTCCCACGCAGCCCCTGCTGTATTCTCTGCCACTCGCCCTTGGGATTTACCTTCACTGCCACCAGCATTTTGTCATTGGTGGGGCTGAGGTTGTAACACTCGGCCAAGAACACCTTCCCAAAGGCACCTTCTCCCAGCTCCCTCTTCAAAACGATGTCTCTCCTCTTAATATGCTGGACATCTGTTGGAGGGAGGGGAGGGAGAGGGTTGAGGGAAGAACGAATCAGGGTTAATTCAGGGAATGGAAAACAATTAATTCAATTTTCTAGCAAGCCGAAATTGCTTCGCAAAAAATATCTACAGGGATCTTTTCACCCACCCACGGAATGCAGCCATCTCTGAGACGGAGCTAGGCTTATGCAAAACATCTGTGAGGAAAGTACTTGAGGTTTATCACGTTTTCACTACAACTTGAAGCAGGCGAGTCCTCAGGGAGAGGAACCTTTGGGGCAAAATCAGCTATGAAGACCTGAATCTTTCTGGAATGATCCAGGAAATAATTAATCTCCTGTGGAGCAAAGGCTCCTAAGGCAAAGGTCACATATTTCTGATGCCAGGCTGGGTGAGATTAGAAGGTTGAGTTTCCAGAAGCTGTTGAATTTTGCATTTCAGTGTGGATCAGTTTAAACCTAAACTCAGGCAGATTTCTGAGCTTAAACACTGGCAAGCCAAAGTGTTCCCAAGAGGAAGAGCACCAATGACCCCAGCACCTTAGGGCACTAGCAGGAGGTGGCTGGGAGCACCGAGCACTATCCTGCAGCAATGCTTCAACCTGTATCCATCTTCCACACAACCATTCCCTCCAGGTCACCCCAGGACAAATCCCTGGTACAAGGGGTGAACTCAAACCATTAGTTTCAATGATCCTTTTCACTGACATTTAGGATGTCAAGGGTTGACAGAGAACAGCAACTGAGGCTCCAGAAAGACTCAGAAGAGCCACAGCTATTAATTTAATGGAAATATAGAAGCCCATAAAGATTGGTCTGCACCAGCTGTTCACACATCACCTAACAGGGTCAATTCATAAGGGCTAGATGTACCCAAGTAGTAGGTATCTACAAGGGTAAACAAATGACCAGTGAGATCTCCACAAATGCAGGGTGTTGATTAAATGCCACTGATTGCAAGGAGAGGTTGAGGGTTTCCATGCTCATTTTTGGGGATAACACTAGGGCACAGCTACATTCTGCCAAAACATTAAGCATCTTTCTAGCATCACAGTGCCCATACAGCTGCCTTGGCAATATGAAGAGGCATCTTTTTCATGCCTGAAATGCACTATGAAGGCAGCTAGAGGCAGCTGGCTATCCCTCTGTATTTCCCTTCACTGGAGCTAACTGCCTGCCTCGGAATCTGCTGCAGAACAGATCACCTTCAGCTTGACGGTCACAGCAGGGCAGTGAGAGCTGTACGCTCTTGCCCAGCACTTGGTGAGCAAGCTGACACATCAGAGGTCTGCTCAGGCAGGAGCATTAGATGGGACACTGCCCTCTCCCACCCTGGGGAATTCATAACTTTGAATCTTTTCCACTCTTCCACATGCCACAGGAGCCAGTGTGAGTGGCCACCATCAGCTTGGATGCATTTTCCTTGGGACAACGTGGAAGCAAGAGTGACTGACAGCAGGTTTCACACTGGCTGCAGGGAAGCATCATGAACAGCAATCCCAGCCTACCACCAGCTCCTGCCACCCTTGATCCAGTAGGCATCAACAGTGGGCCATGAGTTCTGATGCCTCACAGCAGCCCAGGTACAACTCAACGCATCCAGAAGCCAGCAGAGTGAAAGAGCAACATCATAATGGCTTTCATACAATTAAGATTTCTCATTAGGAGCTAACAAGCAGGTTTAAGAAGCTGCAATCTCTGGCCCTTTTGCTTGTTAAGGAAGATGAATGTAGCAAGATTGCATAGGCAATGGGCCTTGTAATAAATGATGCTTCTATAGAGGAATCTCATTGACCTTTTCATTAATCGTTCAATAGACTGAAAACTGTTAGTAACCAATATTAATAATATTATCAACACTAAGGAACAGAATGGAAGGCACATCCAAAATGACTTTGGTTTTGAGTCTGCAATGACAACGAGTGAGAACACATCACATGTGGACTTTGCCTTCTCCATCTAGTTTAGCTGAGTGTTTAAGGAGTACCTTGAGAAATCCGAAATATTACATGCTGAAATGTTAAGCAATGCACTTGGGTGAGGAAAATCCTAATCTGAGAAAAGTTCAAATGCTACTATTTACTTAATAGAGGAAAAGTATTTTTTCTTCTTCCTCTTGGCATGTATTTCTATAGCACTCATCGCAGTAGTGTCCAGAATTTGTTGTACTGACAAGCCACATATTTGTATTCTTTGTCTCCTGATCAGCAACAGTCAAATAATCCTGTATTAAGAAGAATCCACGTATACTTAAAAAACTCACAATCCCAACAGAAATGCAGCACTGCAATACAACTGACCTATTTAATGAGAGATTTAAAAAAAAAAAAAAAAACTATCTCAGAATAATCAGTGATGGTATTTGAAATTATTAACACTTTTCATAATTGGTAACATCGTGAGAACTGAAGTAGACCTCTCTTCCCAAACTCCCTGAGGTCTTGCCCCAAATTTTCAGCTCCCAATTTCGCTTCTCAACAACGTCTTAATAAATGATGAGACATTTCTGAGAGCCAGCGTCCAGACTGTGTAATTATGTCTACATTATTAAAATAATATCCCATCTGTCTTCAAAACCCAGATTTCACAGCAAGTTGTTAGGGTCACCTGTGAAGCTTCAGGGAAAATGCATATGAAGAATTTAAGGAGATATTATGGCAGAAGGAGATGAACCAAGGGAGGAGTAACCCTTTTGAGATAGCAGACCCACGCAGCGCTGCTGGATTAAGAGTAAACTTGGATGGTTATGAAAAACATATATATAATAGGTCCGGGAAGTTGAGCAGTTAGACAGTAACTGGACAGTTTTAATGGACAGTCAGAAAAGCTCTTTTGCTGATCATAATTTCTCTCAACCTTGAAAGGACGTAAATTTTCCATCATAGTATTTTAGGCACAAATGGAATAATAAGCGAGTTATAATAAATTGCCTTTTCACATGCTATAGGCTTAAAATACTGAAGTTTACATCAAATTCTCCCATTCACAGTGAGATCAGCGCCGTGATTAATCCTGCATTATTATTAAATATGGGCTTTAAACACAAAGCACTGACAAAGCGTCCCGGCGCCGTACAAATGGCTGTTATTGCTCTAACCTTGCATCTATTCTCTGCTTGTCTGTCCTGGCCGTAATTCATAAGGAAGGCCAAATAGCCATGAAAGATGCTGTGCTGCAAGGGCACCTGGGAAGTTCATCTGCATAAATCTGTTTACGTCCTCCTGGAGGAAGCAGAGCCCTGTCTGATAAACAGCTGGTGTTTATTTGTTTTAGGCAGGCACTGGTGTGCTAATCCGTCTCAGCTGCCTTGTGGTCAGCCCTGCTGACAAGGTGTAGGCAGGCAAACTGCCTTCCCATAAGCACCGCTCTCTTATTTTCCTCTCCCCTTGTACCATTAACTTATAAAAACAAGCCAACCAGACAGTTCAAAGGAAGAATCTATGCAGGAAACACTGCAAGACCCGACAGGAAAATAACCAGACTTGACAACATGATGGGAACTCATTCAAGACTGTGCTGTATCTACAGGAAGGATGGGAACGCACAGCACTGAAGTAACTCTGGCTTAAAATGAAACATATTGCAGTCCTTGTTTGAGGATTACTATATCACTGTCTGATAGAGAAGGAGAGCCAGGCAGATCCTTCACCTTCTTTCTGGTCCATCAAGGCAAACACACGGAGACCACGTTTCAACCCTCACCTCCTCTGTTACTCTGCATAACACATGAAGCACACCAGGCAACAGCTGACCTGCAGGTTGGGAATGCCCCACAATCGTGTTGCCACGTGGGTAAGTAAGGCTGTTAGCAAGAGGGCAAATCGGAGAGGCTGCATTTCCTTCTACAAATTACTTTCAAAGCAGAAAGCTTTCCTCTTCTCTAGAAGATTCAAGGCAGAAGGGTTGTGGCCTTGGATCTGCAATGGGATCTTACCTAACCTCCACTGAACCTTCTGCAGAATGGATGGCTTGATCTGTGCTTCAAGTGCATTCAGTCAGAAAAGCAGCTGTCTAAAAACGGCAACTTCTTCCTCCCTGTATTTGTTCCCATGTGTCCCTTACTTGCATCTGCTTCTGTTCTTGACACAAACATATTCTAGTTTGCTAACCTTGCAGGCCCAGCGCAACCAGGGATATAAAGGAAGAGAAAGAGGGGACAAGATGAATTCTACATTTCTCATGCATCATGATAGTGTTTCTGCACCAGCCCCCGGGAAGGAGCCTGAAAAAACCAGAACTTTTTTGCTTACATGACTGATCCAGTGACTCTTCACCCATCTTTTACACTCGTATTACAGATTCTGTCTTATATGTGGCAAAGTCAAGGCAGAAAGACACCCCTTCAACTCAGAAATCCCAAGTAGAGCTTGTAGGGCCAGTAGCAGACAGCGTGCAGTGAAAACAATGTTTTTCCAATAGCAACTGCATTTCAATCACACGAGAACAAATCAGCAACTTGCATGGGCCTATTTCATGAATCTAATATACCAATTATCGTCTCATTTCCAATTCAGTCCTGGGGGTCAGGAAAGGAAGAGAAGGGTTCAACGATGCTGCAAATACTGCATTTGAGATTCCCATCACAGCCAGCATCCTTAAAACCACAGTTTGATAATACTCCTGACACCTGGCTGCGCATGATGCAGTGTTTCAACACAGATGACTACAGTGGGAGGTAAATGGACAAATCAAACTGCAAACAGAGTAAACCATGAACAGTGACAGTACCTATGTTGCAGCAAAATGCAAAACAACTTAAGTTGGATGATGTGTTCCAACTGGAACTGGATCTGAAATTAATTCCTCACACCTCCTCCTTTCCAACTCCCAAGCAGCAGCCTAGCTAGGTGCTGTATTTCCAGCAGATTTCTTGTCCTTGGACTCTCAATTCACAAATAACATGCAGCTTCCTAGGGAAACAGAAGAAACCCATGGAAACCTTCTCTTTTACTTTTGCTACCCTCTACCATCAGCAGCTTTCTCTTATAGCCTAGAAATGACCAGTATCAAT